GATCATTACCTTTGTCCGACAAAGGGGCTGATCCCGTCACTATGATCACCCACTCAGATGAATTCTCAGGCTGTTCCAACATACCTAGGTTTTGACCCCGCTAAGGATCTCATTGATTGGCATATCGAAGACAGCCCAATCCAACACCTGGTACAGTAACATAATTGGGTCTAGGGGTCAGGTGTAATTTTCCAGTTTTGCTCATCAATCTCCAAGGTCCAGGGCAATACTAGAAATCTGGTCCAGTTCAAGGGTTCAAGTAATCCTACCTTGCATGTGCCTTGGGTCTCACCCTGGCGGTTGAGACAAGCCACCCCAACATTTGGCAGTACACCAGTGTCAGCCTTGACAGGATAAATCTCCCAGACTTATCCAACGGCTGTGAACATTTAAAACTAACACGAGTCTCATTAAGTGTCCAGTTTTAGGGTTTTACACAGAAGGATACCACACAACATGAATYAAACATGTACTTTATTTATTTACACTAAATATCAAAAGTACATCAAAACTGATTGGAGCTAAGGGCATACAAAAACTGTCTAACATCTCTCTCTCTCTCTCACTCTCAGTCTGGTCTGCTATAGTCTCACAGAAGGTTTTTCCGGAGATTCTTCAACTTTGTTGGTTGCAGATTCTCGCCCAAGGTTCTGTTGTATCCTGGGAACAGATTTGCTTGTAACCTAAAGACAATGTCTTCAGGCGCGCCTCAGAGCATCTCCTCCAAAGTTATAGTGACCCCATTTTCCAACATGGACTAATCAAAAAAAAGTTTCAGATAAGAAATTTTTATTATATCGTTAATTAGCAAATAAATATATGTTAATATGATCAAATACTATTGTAGCACATGGAGTTTTCTGTTATAGTGAGAAATATGTGTTTTTCATTCATTTCAGCACTACATCAGTCAGGGTGTTGAGACTTTTGTCTCTCAAAGCTAGAAATATGAAATTGATATTTCTTGAAACACCCATTGGTTTATGTTTCAAGTAGAAATGTTTTATGACTGTTTAACTCAAAAGTCTCAATCAAATAGAAAATTGACCATTAAACTCAAAATGCCTAGGTTCATGGTGCTGATGTGGCATTACTTCAAATATATAGAAACAGCCATGGTACCCAACATCTCAATCATTTTGGCACACCCTTATGATCCTGTGTGTATCCATGATAAAATACAACTCCAAAATTATCGGATACAATACTTAGTAATGAATTTTAATCCCCAAATAGGGGGTGTAGCTAGGTGACTGCTTATATATTACTTGGCGTTAAGACTATGTTTGATTTGATAGAAAATAACAAACAGAAAGTTGAGGGAAAATTCTTTAAGGAATTTGTCCTGTACCTTAGGACATGGAGATTGATTAAGTGACATTAGCTAGATGCTTACATGTGTCATGTACCTTGGGAGATGCTGATATGTCACTATCACTAGCTCTTAACAATTGCACTCGTGCCTGTATTGGTTGTTCAGTGTTATAACTAATTAAAGATGCCATATTCTGATAAAACTTTCAATATGCTAAATTGAATAGCTTCTAGTTAAATGAAACTTCTGTTCAATAAACTGGTTTATGGAAATTGGTTATTTAAATATGGCATAATTACAACTTGCATGGAAATTCTATTTCTCTCTCTCTCTACTTTGTTATTTACTTTGAATGGTTCAATCTAAGGTAAAGGATAGTATTGATTTAGACTAGATTGTATATATGTTCAATTGGGTGAATATGATTGGGAGTGTTGGTGAAAAGAATTAACCTACATGAAGATTATAAGCTTTACTGTTTTTTTGCAATGTCCTTGGACTAAAATACTTAGTGAACATTATTTGGAAATTCCTTTCTCTAGCTGCCGGAGTTTGTTCACATTAGAACTTTTGTGAGTTGTGAACATTGAGGAAACTAAGCTTTGTTCAGATGAACTTGTTGCAACTATGCTTGTGAATTTGGAGGAGGATTACATGGCTTATGTATGCATGACTGCCAATTCCTTCATTAGATTGATGTGATGTTTGGGTGGTTCTTCCTTTAAGTTATTAAGTTATACCTAAACTAGTTGATTCTATTTTATTTATACATTTTCTGATACTTTAATATAGTTCTTTGATATGCTCCATTTGGTTAATAATCCAAAAAAGAAAAAAGCATAGGGTTGAGAAATTTAATTTACAAGTGAACTTGTGGTGGAAAGTACAGCAAGAAATTTTATTTAAATCAATGGTCCAGATTGAAAGAAATTTGAAGATATTAAGGACCATCACCCAATGTTGGTCCCAGCCATCTAAATTATCAACTTCTGAATTGCCATTTACTGTTTTTAGACTAGTAATGGTCTATTAACATTGCATGGCCTACAACTTTGGTAAGTGTTTTATTGATAAAATTATATAAATATTATTATAATTAATTTTTGTTACTCACACACTGAAGATATTCTTTTTGTTCTATTTATTATTAAAAACAAGAACACCATTTTATTATTATTTTTATTTGAAACATTAATTACTTTTGTCAAGTGATAAATATATATTTTTTTGTGATTACATTGAGAATTTGAATATATTAATGCAAATGGTTTATTTTTCATGAATTAATTTTACCTTTATAGATCAAGAAAATCAAAATTTCTCAATTGATAACAACAATTTTATATAAAAATTGTTGCTGAAATCGTGTTGTAACAATGGTTTTTCATGATAAATTGTTGCAATAGATAACTTTTAACAACGGTTCTAAATAAAAACCATTGCTATAGATGGTTTTTAGCAACGATCATATATAAAAGGTGTTGCTGGAAGTGTGTTATAGAAACGCTTTATATGATAAATTGTTTGCTATAAATAGCTTTTAGCAACGGTTATCATATAACTATGGCCAGAAGAGTGTTGTAGCAATAGTTTTCATGGTAAACCATTGCTACAAGTATTATTTAGTAATGGCTTTCACGATGCACCGTTGCTATGGATATTATTTAACAGCAGTTTTATAAAATAACCATAACAATTTATTTATGAATTTTGTTGTTTGCACTTTTTTAGCTAGTCTTGTCGGTTGATATAGTTGTTTTAGCAACGGTCAGTCTAGTGTTCGTTGTAAGAGACTAAAGTTGTAGCAACAATCAGTCTAGTGTCCATTGCAAGAGATTAAGGTTATAGTAACAATTATGTCCGTTGCTAAAAGAAATCTGTTGCTATAGGGTGCTAGAAATCAATTTTTTTTTTTTTATAGTGAATCATCCACAAATTGAAGGATAGGAATGATATGCCCATCTCTTGAGGCTTTGAGGCTAAGACAATTATTTCCACTACCACTATCAAAACACACCAACCTTGTGAGGGCCTCACTCCACAAAGCAAAGAGGTATGGAGAGAGAGGGGGTCCCCTAGGTGAATTCCTCCAAATGGGGTAAATGGTTGAGTTGGAGTGCTATTAACAAGAATTTGATACAAAACAATGGTGAAACATTTCATACGGAGATGGATCCACCACTCTTTTTAAGACCAAATCTTTTAAGGACATTCTCTCTATGAAGATATTATTAATGATACACCTCCTTAGGACAAATGAACTGTGATATGATATAACCATCTCTATGCTATCATTTTTTGAGATCAATCCCAGAAGGTCTTGACCATTTTGTCAACATAGTCACATATAATATTCTAGTATTTTTTAAAGAATTAAAAAAATTTTAATCTTTAAAGTCAATCAATCGATTTGGGCTCTTTGAATTTTTCACCACACAAAAAGCTTATAAAGTGCTTGCCTGGGCCCCATCTCTGAAAGCCAGACGCCGTCAAGGATGCTTCGAATCAAGATTTGCTCCTTACACAGCGCATCTCACATCAACCTCACAGCCCCATTCCAAAGTCTATCGTGTTGAAATCGATCGATGATTTATTTAAAAAAAAAAAAAATTGATCAAATTGGATTGGGTTGGCCGGTTCAGATTGGATCAGATTCGAATTGTGAGGCGCCCCCGTGTGAGGAGCTCACATTAATCCTGATTTGCTCCTTACTCTCTCACAGAACAAATGGCCGAATTCAGTTCATAATTCACATACGATCGCAGTACTCCCCTGCGACCCCAATGAACACGCCAGCGATGGAAATTAATTAAAAAACAGTTTTTCCATCGCTTGGTTCCACCAATCTCGTTTGCGACTTTGCCACCATCACCATCTCATCTCCTCTTGAACTGATCAGCTCTTTTCTCTGGTTTACGGCCTCAATTCTTGTTTTCCTCCGTTTCTTATATGGAGCTTTCTGTTTCCCTATCTCTATCCGTTCCGTCTCATTCCCGTTCTCTTCCCTCGTTATTTTTCTGTAGGCGGAAGAAACATAATGCTCTTTTGATTTTCAGGAATCCGAATTCCACTTCCCGCAACTGCAATTCCTCAACAAAGCTGTTCAATTGGCTTCAAAAGAATGTTATCACAGCGTTAAATTCAATTCAGACTGGCGATGGCGGTTTCGTGCTCGAAGATGTTCCTCACTTAACAGACTTCCTCCCCGATTTGCCTGTATGTTCACGCACATACACACAGACTCTTCTTCTTTCCCTCTCATTTTCTGTTGCATTTCTTTGTTGCTGATTTTTCCTTGAACGTAATTAAGAAGTTATCCATCTTTTGATTAATTTTATATTTTGGTTTTGGATATGGAAATCATTTACCTTGTAAATTTGGTTTTTCAGATTCCAAGCTCTTGTAAGTTCCAGTAAGTGGTTTCTATGGCCTTTTTTTGGCGATTATTTTGACTAATTTAGCACTAATAATGAACTAACGCAGTAACTAACATCTTTTGTTTGCTAGTAACGGAGTGCAAGCTATGATTTACGAAACTGCAACTCTAGAGTTTATTCTATAAACAGTCTGCTATAAGGTGTTAATTCAATAAATAAGACAAGTTTATTCTATTAAGCCAAATGACAACATTCCCTTAAATAGAAAATACTCAATAATTATGTTTGGTATTGTCCTATTTTAGAGATTCAGCACGATTTTTACTTGTTTAAATGTTAACAAATCCTAACATTCTAGCTTTGTCCTTATTTATTTTTGTATTATAAAAGTAATATTTGATGCATGCACCCTAATTGTTGGAAATTACAATGCCAATTTTGTTGAGCAATGCTTTCCCTTTACCTTTTCAGTCTACTATGGTGTTCAATTTTTCGGGACGTGCTACCCTCGTCTTGTGTAGCACATTTCTGGTTTTACCCAAAAAGAAAAAAAACTTTTGGTAGTTAATGTTTCATTCTTCTTTTCTTCTTTCCTCCAGGCATACCCAAATCCTTTGCAAAAGAGTACAGCTTATGCAATTGTCAAGTAAGTCTATATTGTTCTTTGTGAACCTTGATTATAAGTTTTGGTTATGCCCATGCATGTATTTTGTTGCCTCAGATTCCTCATAGCCTGAGAACTGAATTGCTTGGATATAAGAGATGTAAATTTGTCTGTTTCACCAGGCAAAACTTCGTCAGCACAGAAGATGTTGTAGCAAAAAAAGTAGGTAACTTTGGTTTTACTTTACCAGAATCCAGTTGTGCTTGATGTCTCTGTTTTCTCAGTATGGGTTATCAGATTTTTTTTGTATCTTTTTTTTTTTTTTGGTTGTTGTTACTATTATTATTATTTTTTTTTCTGGTATTCAGATTGTTGTTCAGAAGAACAGTCCTAGAGGGGTACACTTTCGGCGTGCTGGACCTCAAGAAAAGGTATACTTTTATCAGAGAACTACTGTTCTTAAATAGATTGTAACTTTTACCTACTTTGTTTATAGATCTTTCTGGTGTTTAGGTTTACTTTGAGTCAGATGAAGTACGTGCATGCATAGTGACATGTGGTGGCTTATGCCCTGGAATTAATACTGTTATTCGAGAGATAGTATGTGGCTTGAATTATATGTATGGTGTTGAAGACATCCTCGGCATTGAGGTAAGATTAGTGAGCAATGTGCTTCTTAGGATTCTTCAATTGTAGATTAAAGGTTATGTAAATCCTGTAAACTTCCAATTTGAGAGTATCTTGCACTGCTAATAGTAGTCTTTAAAAATGTTATTAATCCTGATTAATGTTTGTTGAAAGTCTTGAAGAGTTGAGATCTTATACTATTGCACGATAATATTGTATGTTCTTTTATGCTTAAATGCTTAGGTTCTTAACGAATCCCTGTATGCCATGGATAAGCACTTTTTTTACAGCTACATCTTTACATTGGGACAAGAAGTTGCCAATGAATTTTCATTAACTGTTATTTCATATGGCATTTTTCTAATCTAGTTAGTCAACTAATATCTATAAATCTTTGTTTAATATTGTTGAAATATTTCCAGGAAGGATAATACATCAGGAATGATACCAATTCTGGATGGCATCTTACTGAATATTTTTTATATAGTATGACATTTTCATAGTCTAGTTAGTGAACTAAAATATGTTAATCCTAATTTGATATGTCTGAGATATTTTGCAGGGAGGATATAAAGGATTTTACTCTAAAAATACAACTACTTTGACTCCAAAAGTTGTCAATGACATCCATAAACGTGGTGGTACCTTTCTTCGCACATCAAGGGGAGGTCATGATACTAAGAAAATAGTTGATAGCATTCAGGACCGGGGCATTAATCAGGTGAATCCTTTTTTCTCTTTTCCAGGCTGCTTAAATCTTTGACCGTTTATGTTAACATTTTGGTCCTTTTCTTTCTGGTTTCTAGGTATACATAATTGGAGGTGATGGCACTCAGAAAGGAGCAGCTGCTATTTTTAAGGTAAATGCTTCCTAGCTTTTTTGCTGCTCCACTTGACCACCAATCAAAAAACAGTATTCCTTACAAAATGCTGCATTGATATGATTTTTTTTTTATGTCAAGGAAGTTGAAAAACGTGGTCTCAAAGTAGCAGTTGCTGGAATCCCCAAGACAATTGATAATGATATTGCAGTAAGTTTGACATTCATGTTCTGTGTTTTATTGTGATGGTTCTTATCGGTGAACTCGAAAATTGAGTTATGTAAAAGATTAATATGAGAAAATAACCTTCTTACTTAATTCATTCCAAAAGTGATCAATGACCATGTGTTTGGGTCAGTCTTAGGTAATAATCTTATTCAATTAGACACAGTGCCTATCTTGTTGAGAACATCTTCAGCCTATTTGACTCAATCTGGAAAGAAGCTTTCAATAGCCATTACTTCTTTAAGATATGGATGTTAACACCTTGCTTGGATGGAAAGAAGGAATACTCATCTGTTCTGTTGTCTTTTGTTAGAAAAATCCAAAAAATGGGTTTTATTTTTTTCCTTCCTTTTTGGTGTTACGTTGAAACATTTATCATTCTTCAAGAACAGCTGTTCCACTTCCTATTTATTGTAATTGGATGCTTCATTTTGTTTGAATTTTAAACCAAAGCCCTTTCTTCTGACCATTCTTCCAGACTTGTAGTGTCAGCCCACAGTCTGTCCCATTCAAGCCCTATTCAACTAGCCTAATTTTCAGCTATTAAGATATCTCAAGTTTATTATGTTTCAATTTCTACTTCTGCGTTCTAAAACCCAGAAAGACGCCAAGTTTTGATCGGGCTGCCTGCTACTTTTACTGTTTTTTAGTTATTTCATTTTGTTACAAACTTACAAATGGAGTTTGAGGAATTATTCTCAAAATTTGACAAAACATTTGTAACTTGTTATTTGTCTGGTTAACTGGGGTGTATGTACATTCACTAGTCCCTTAGAAACCCTTATCACATATAATTCATCCCAAGACTCGAGTTATATTATTTTTAGATGTTTTGTCTCTGTACCCAGTCATAATCAAAAGGGCTGGTGGCAACCTGATAGCTCTTCCTTCCCCCTCTCTTTGAGTGGAAATTCTGCTAATTGTTACTGAGCTACAGGGCCTTTCTTATCTGTTTTAATCTTCTTATTGGGTTTCAGGTGATAGACAAATCTTTTGGTTTTGACACTGCTGTTGAAGAAGCTCAGAGGGCTATTAATGCTGCACATGTGGAGGTTGAAAGTGTGGAGAATGGTGTTGGCATTGTGAAGCTTATGGGACGATATAGTGGTAGGGTATTCAACTGATCATTTGTCCTTATTGTCTCCACACAATGTAAGTTATGTAACTCAAGTTATGGCTTTACAATATTTAACTAGTAATTAAGCACATGCGTTGCACGTGAGAAATTTTTCTTCATATTAATTACTTGAATTTTAGATATATCATAGTTAAGATAGAAATTGAAAATTAACAAAAGTAATGATCTGATTAAAAATAAACTTAAATGCTTGTAGCAAATAACAATTAATAATAATAATATTATTATTAAATTTTGTATTCCATTTCTATCATAAATAAAAATAACTTTTATTTTAACAATTATTTTTATTTAATATGATGAATACATAACATTAGAAATGTTCTCAAATGTTTTCTACAAAATTCTATACATTTTCATTTTTTGTGTTCTATGCTTTTTTAAATAATTATTATTCAATTATGACATTATGGTTTCTTTGAAAAGTTGGATCGTTGACCCACCATCTAGATAAGAAAATAGTTTCGCTTTCGAATTAGTTTTAAATTAGGGAAAGTTATAGTCATAGTGGGTTGTACATTTAAAATTAGGCTACAGGTTGGTCTTGAAATCGACAAAACTTTGGCAACCGGCTCTACATTCAAATTATAAAAAACCCCCGCCATGTCATTGGAGGCTTATGTGGTTGTTGCCTACATGGGACTCTTAATCCATGTTGGACACTACAAAAATCTTATACTGAAATTGCCCTTTAATGCTAGGTGATTGGAAAATAAAAAAAAAAGGTTTTTAGTTTCTCTTTTGCTCTCTCTTACTCTCCCCCTCCCACTCTCTCACTCTCACAATCGTCTCTCTCTGCTCAACGACTGCATGATTTGAAAATAAATAAAAACGGTTTTTGGTTCCGGTATTTACGTTCTCTATATCAATTTCCTCTCATTCTCTCTCTACCTATCGTTCTCCCTCAATCTCTTTCATTCTCTTTCTCGGTCGATCTCTCCTTCTCCCTTAATTTTTGTTGTTCTCCCTCAGTTTCTCTCCCGCTCCCTCTCTCATTCTTTTTTTATTTTCTTACACACTTATATGGTATTAATTAGACCATATAAAAGAACATGAAACCAACTTGGTATGGTTCAAAAATCATTACACCAATTTGATGAAAATTCACAAGAAACTCTTGGCTAAGAAATTTACACCAACTTGATAGAAATTTATAACTTGATTGTACAAGTAATTGGTCCCTTTAGTTTTTTTATACTATCTGATTAATATTGTGTAAGTTTGTAAGAAAAATAAAAAAGAACGAGAGAGGGAGTGGGAGAACGATAGGGATTGAGGGAGAAGGATATATTGACTAGGAGGGAGAAGAATGAGAGAGATTGAGGGAGAATGAGAGAGAGAGAGAGAGAGAGGAGAGGGAGTGGGAGAACGATAGAGATTGAGGGATAAGGAGATATTGACTGAGAGGGAGAAGAATGAGAGAGAGAGAGAGAGAGAGAGAGAGAGATTTTGATTTGGCTACAGACCAAAGCTGAGAGAGTGGGAGAGACAGAGGGAACGGGAGATTGAGATATGACTGTGGGAGTGAGAGAGAAGGGAGGGAGATCGAGAGATAAAGGGAGAGGGAGAGAAACTAAAAACCTATTTTCGATATAGGCTTTTTGTTGGTAACAACCAGATAAGCCTTTGATGACATGGCAGGGGTTTTTATAATTTGAAATGTAGAGCCAGTTGTTTGAGTTTTTTTGGTTTTTAAACCAATTTGCAACCTAATTTTAAATGTACAATCGGCTTTAACTACAATTTTTCCTTTAAATTATATATTTCATTTACATTATATAAATAATTTTTACTTTTCACACTTAATTTTTGTTTGTCTATGATATCATTTGACCCAAACCACTAACCCACCACCCAAAAAGAAAAATAGTTTGATTTCTAGGTTGACATTAAATTT